GGACTCAGGGCGGCTAACAACTTATAGGGAGGGGATACAAACANCTTCCAATCCCACCCACGTCGCCAGTGTTAGATTGGGTAATGGATAGGCACACACAGGCTTAATGGGAACAAAAGCTCTTTATTAAGTACAACAAGTGAGAACAATCCAGCAAAGGTTGAGTCTGACAGCAGCCCTTTTATAGGGAGCTGTCAGACCCTTCGACCAATAGAATTAAACCTCTGTTCCCGCCGGAACAGAGGACCTTGGTGGAAACCATTGTAGTTAGAACAAACATAAGTCATCTTATATTCTGAGAATAGAAGGCACTTTGAAAACAAATGAATGGCTGAAGATGCAAATGTTTGCAAATAGCATTGTAAGACTATGCAAAATTTGCACTGTGCAAAAAAATAGTGCAAATAGCATGTTGAACTATCAACATGAAGATTAACCTGAAGATTAGCCTTGTTTGAGAGGGACTATTTGCCTCCTAAACTGAACTTTTTTTGGAATCCTTAATTTATTCTTTTCTTCCCTGTTCAAATACCTTTCCCCCATATATCTGCCTAGTTTTTTTTCTTTACCAAAATACTTTTCTCTTGTTTTCACTTCATTCATCCTCTTTCCTGTACCTTTTCTTTGTGTGTGAAAGAGAAAAGCAAATATTGTGAATTTAAATATGAAAGGTTTCATTAATTCAAAACTCTGTTACCGGAGTTTGCCAAGCTTCTGTAGACAGTAGGCAGTTATCATCACTAGAGTTGTTTGTCAGAATTGGCAAATGGATCCAGAAAGTAGGTTTGCCATTCTATTCAAAAGAGCAATTCAAGATAATGAAATTGGTAAATATGCCCTTGTGTACACACACCTGATTTGTAAGAGAAACAGAATAATGTTAGTATGAGCTGATAGAATACCTATAGTTCATAGAAAGAAGCACAATTCTTAAGTATTGGATATTCAGTCAGTTGAATAAAAAGGAGAGACATCTATAGAAACACACAAATACGCACATTTATCAATTGAATTAAATCCTAGCAGTTCTTCCTTCCAAACATGTATGTATGTATGTATGTATGTATGTATGTATGTATGTATGTATGTATGTATGTATGTATTTATATAAACACACATACATACAAGTTTGTCATGTGCACATATGGGGGAAGGTGGAACTGCTAGGATTTATTTCAACTGGAGTTAGTAAGCTTAGGCAGTATCTTGTACAGGATTTTTCTTCTGTGCTTATGTTCTTTTTAATCTACTTCTCATTTGGAAAAGACTCTTAAATTCAGAATTTTTCACCCCTTCATACAAATACAATAGTTAATAGATAATACAATGGTGAAAAATTTACCCCTTCCTTTTTATTCTGATTTAGAATCTCTTTCAAATATGCTTTATTGACCAAAAGAGAATACTTCTTCCCATGCTAAAAAGATATAGTTGCATTTTAAATAGAAGGATATTTAAACATGCATAGGATCAAGCTCCTAAAAATTGTTCAGTGGTATTTGTGTAATGCTATGCTAGTTTATTCGTTCAGGTTTACTATCTGTAAACCTACTGTTACCATCTTTTAATTTTCCCTTAAACATGCAAGGCATGAAAACTTAAATTTTTCCTGGCTTCATTTTCTCATTAACTGTCTGTATCTGAAGTCTATTTTCTACTTTTATTAGAATTTTTTTGAAAAAGTTAAAATGAAGGTAATCTTTTCAAGGTAAGCAAAAGTAAAATGGTTTATAATAAACATTAGATACTGTGGAAGAAATGTTAATAGCTATCCTACTCAGATCTCCAGTGAAATTGTTTTGATTTCTTACACAATGAGTTTCAAATAAAAAATCTCCAAATCCATGCTGAGTCCCCAAAGACATGATTAAAATCTGTTTTTCTATTCATTTGTATTTATTTTTTAAAAGAAACACCAATTTATTCTTGCCATAATTGCAGTATTTAATCCCATGAAAAACTACACCTTTCAAGTTTTACATGTTCAGTATTGTGGGTGAGCATATATTTCCACCTAATTATGCACATTTTGTTTGAAGACTTGAAAGGGGTAAAAAGAAAAATAACCAGTCAATTAATTAATTTAATGAATTTCCTATAAATAAATCAGCAAATTTGTCACTAATATTTTAACTTACAAACATACAGTACATCACTGAACTGGTGAGTTTGTTTTCTTGTATAATATCTGGAATATTTTTTATGATACTATTACTCATTATAGATTTGCAGCTTCCAAAACTTGCATTTGTAATCTGTATTAGTATGAACTTGTTTATATCTTAGAGTGAATAGCATTAGGTACTTTTACTCTCTTAATTAAGATAGTTGACTCAGCCTTCCATCCTTTATATTGGTTCTTCTAAGGTGGTAAAATGAGGACCCAAATTGTTGGGAGCAATATGCTGACTCTGTAAACCATTCAGAGAAAGCCCTAAAGCACTGTAAAATTATATAGATAGATAGATGATAGATAGATAGATAGATAGATAGATAGATAGATAGATAGATAGATAGATAGATAGATAGATAGATAGATAGATAGAGATGATAGATAGATACATGATAGATATAGATATAAATAGATATATNAGCCAGCGCAGCTCGCGGAGGATAGGTGTATGAAGTATGTAAAATCACTATCACTATTAATGGTTTATTAACTTTTATTAACTATACAAAAACAAACAAGGAAATAACAGATGAAAGTAGTGTGTCACATATTTAGTTAAATATTCACTGGCCCCTGTATATGTGTGAACACTTAATTGTTTATTCTGGGGTACACTGTGATCTTTAAAATGGATCATCTGAATTATTTTTCACAATTATAACTATCAGTTTGATCAAACCATGTGTGGATTAAGCAGCAGTAATCCACTCTGTATTTTGTTCAACAGTGAACAATTTGACACATCCTGCTTGCTATATACCACACTTTGAAACTCCTCCAATTTCTTATTTTTAGGGATATGATTTTAAATATACACCCACGCGCGCACACACAGACACACAGTTTATTCTTACGTTAATGGTTCTAGCCCGACTTATTTAATACCTCTTTACATCTCCCATGTGAAGAATCTGCCCTTAGAAGCATTTCCCATACTAGCTCACTTTTCTTGTATTCCTCAACTCCATTCTGTGTTTTTATTTGGAATATCTTTATTTCTGATGATATAAATTGTACCCTAGATACAATATTTGGCTATTATTGCTGCACTCATTTGAATGGGAGAACTTTATTAGCCTCTTTATTCCTGATTGCAGTATACATGTGAGATAAGGATCACTCTTCAATTTAACCTTCCTATTTATCTTTCATCAATCTTTGATTAATAGGACCTGTAATAGCTGTTTGTTTGTCTGTATTCTTCTACCTGCAATTCATTAATTCAAAGCTCTGTTACCAGAGTTTGCCAAGCTTCTGTAGAAAGTAGGCAGTTATCATCACTAGAGTTGTTCATCAGAATTGGCAAATGGATCCAGAGAGTAGGTTTACCATTCTATTCAAAAGAGCAATTCAAGATCATGGAATTGGTGAATATGCCCTTGTGTACATACACCTGATTCCCATTCATACTATGGCAACTATTAATTTCATTGCAATTCAGTTTTTTTACACAATCTCAGCCAAGACTCCTAGTGAATTAAATTATGCTTGTTATAAACCAAGATAATAGGGAACATATTGCTAATAGGGGTCAGTAATTTTGCCCTGAAATATATTTTTGTTTTTTCAAAAACTCAGAAAATGTGAAACACAGATTTTTTCCTGTTTCCCAGTTTCACACTACATTATTAATCTGGGTATTTAACCATGCTACTATTACTACATGATTATTACTACTCCATCAGAGTTGCTGTTTAACTAATGCTACTTTTTTGAAGTATTAATGTGTCACGAATAACATATTTATAGCTGAACTCTTCTGAAGAAAGTTATTTCTTTTTTACACTATAATTCCCAGAATTCCAAGGCAACATGGTAAACAGCTGGCTGTTACAATATATCACATCTGGACTGCATAATGTTGGAGAAAGCCGCTTTGCTGTTGCTCCAAATTTTTGAAATATTCCAATATCAATATGTCCATATGATATTCTGGGTTAACTATTTATTCTGTACTTTTAAAGGTACAGTTAAAATACACTTTTTGAGTTGTCATTCTATACTTAAAATAGTATTTAATATATGAAGAATTAAAATATTCTTCACTGATGCATTAAAGCAGTTACTGCTGGACCAATAGTGTCCTTCATAATCAATCAAGCCACATTTACCATATACACAGCCAACAACCTCACATAGAAAAACACCTCCAAAGTTTTGAACTGAGTATGACTGAAACCTTGCTTATGCTTACACTCTAAACCTATGCTACTTCTGTCACTATACTATTCGTTCATACTTTTCTTCATTGTCTTGAACAATAAATGTTGGTAACAGATAAGATAAGCAATTAATATAAAAATAAATTAAGAAAAAGAATACTAGGTTATTGAAAATCATATAGGCAGCTCTCACTACTGGATATCCCAACCTCAATATTTTATGAACTTATTGAAATAGAATTTCAATAAGTTCAATTTCCTATATTTTATTTTGTTCATATCTTTGGATACCATTCTAAATTCATTTATATATTTATATTTGCAGTACAGTATTCCTGAACAAAGGTTTTTCCAGTACCGCTTTAGTTTACTTTATTTATTTACTGTCTCTTTATGCTACCATTATTATCTATGAATTATTATCTATGATAGTATTAACTTATCTAGAAATACCTGACTTTATAGAAATCTTAAATACTCAATTTATTTGATGCTATGTATAATATTGGGGAGGGGGAGTTGTGCATAGTAACAGAGCATTTATAGAACCTGTATTTAAATATTCTGTTTTATATCTTAGAGTAGCCTTTTGGATTTATACAGTAAGGATTGACTGATTAAAAAAGTGATCACAAAATATTGTTTTTGATTTTTTTCCCCAATAGGCACAGTTATGACACCAAATTATTTAAATTATAATAATCTCAGCGTTGCACCTTGGTGTGATTGCGGCAGCAGTGGCAATGACATAGAAGAATGTCTGAAATTTCTGAATTTCTTCCAGGATAATTCATGCCTTAGTGAGTACCTTTATGTTACCTTTATAACATGCCTTTATGTGCTATAAAATGATTCCAGGCCAATAGATCATGTACACTGAAATTACAAATATGAAATCAATTTACATAACAAAGATGCAAAGATTATTTTGTCAGAGTCATTATTCCAAGAAGGCAAATATTCTCTAAACGAATGCTGGCTGGGGAATTCTGGGAGTTGAAGTCCAGACATCTTCAAGTGGCCAAGGTTGAGAAACACTGATCTAGACCAAAGCAAGCCCACACAGCCTTCACAACAGGTAGCAGAAGTATAGCTTGATGTTTATTGATGAAACATCAGAAAACATCAGTTTCCTGGGAAACACAGGATAAATAGCAGGGGAAAAGCAGGGGGGGAAAAAGAAACAGACAACAGACAAGAATTTACATTATATTTATATAATCTATTAAAAGGCTTAAACATTTTAGACTCATTGGAAATGTAATTGTGGTTAATTAGTGTGGACAACCCAAAGGGAGTTGCCTTTAGTTGTTCCAGGCTTAATCAGTTTAGGTAAGATAAGAGCAGCAGAATACAGATGGAAAGTAAGATACTTCTTCTATTCTGTATCATGAAAGAAACTATTTGACATGGGTGATGAACTGTTCAGCATTTTGCACATTACAAGGTTTCTTTGTATCTAGGCCAGAGTGGAGAATACTCATGAACTTTAATATGGTATGTGTAATGCTAGACTACTACTTTAAAACTCAGCTATTAATTCCAGGTTGGGGGGAAAAATATTACCTAGGTGCTATGGCCTTGAGTAATGCATTTGATATCTTCATCAAATGTAAAAAGCTAATTCAGTGCTAGAAACATGGTTTAGAAATTTTCCATCTAAGTTTGGCTAAATATCTATTTCTCTAATTAAAAAAAAATTGTAGATTTTGAGAAGCTTCAGTTCCCATTGAACATTCTTAATTGCTTTAATATCTTGAAACTCAATTGTCATTGCATAATTTTGAAAAGAAATACTCCTTTTCTATTGTTCTTTTGCTTTTAGAATAAAAATGTTAATGAAGATAAAGCAACGATATTAGAAGACAGTGTGAGAAAAAACTATATCTAACCTGGCAGAGACTTTTTGTTAGGAAGAAATTAAAGGTGTCCCTGCCTTAATAGCATTTCACTGAAGGGGATTAATGTTCCATTGCCTTTTTTTTTTTTTGATTAATGGAATGACTTTTGTAAACCTTTATTTTAAATAAAAGATATAATTATCTTTAATATGCATAATGCCTTGTTCACACATAAAGTGGAGCCACATTTTTTTTAAATAATAGTTGAAAGATCATATTAGTCTGGTTCATGTAACCCAAATGGATTCACTCATAATAGTGCAAAATATGAGAACCCAAAATATGTCTCAGTTAATATGTGAAAAGGATGTCTTGTACTAAAAAAAAATCAGTTGTGTTTGTATATTTGAGGTAGTTTGGGATTTTTAATTGGGAATCAATAACCAAAGATAGGTGTGCATTTTTGATGCATAAATCCTTGCTCCAAAGGATTTACTCTTCTTTATTAGAAAGGTTCATTAAATTAGGCCAACTGCCACTTTCTTTCTGTGTTAAATATGGGTCAAAGAACACATTCAGAATTATCAAAAGGATACAGGCAACTAGTTCAGAATCTCGGTAGAGATATTACATGTAAAAGAGAAAGTTTCTAGAGAGAGATGCTTACTAGAGTGAATCATTTTCAGCACACTGAAACTGAAGACTCAAAATATTATAATTCTAACTTAGTGTCCTCATTGACATGTTACTAATCTGATAGGAAGTGGAGGTTTTTACTTTCCAAATAGTTTCCTGTGAGTTAGAGGAATATAAGTTGTTAGATTCGGTAATGGATAGGCACACACAGGCTTGACGGTAACAACAGCTCTTTATTAAGTACAAGAAGTGAGAACAATCCATCAAAGGTTGAGCAGCCCTTTTATAGGGAGCTGTCAGACCCTTCGACCAATAGGATTAAACCTCTGTTCCCGCCGGAACAGAGGACCTTGGTGGAAACCANATCTGTGGGATCTAATCGGTCTGTTGGAGGTAATTGGCAGCAGGCGGTCTCTCAAGTACCCAGGTACCTGGCTAGAGTGGAAATATGTAAGAAACCATTATAGTGCACATTCCCTTTTTCTGTTGATTGTCTTGATTCAAAATTTTAGAGTGCAGTTCTTGTTTTATTCTCCTCTGTAAAGTATACTCACAAACTGATTAGAATGAGATGGCTTTCTTTGTCAGACTGACCTTGAAAGCATGTATAATCTAGGCAGACACAAAAATGTTAAAATATGACATATAATTTATTTTTATTACTGTGAGATACTATTTTGAATAGAAAAACATTTTCTAGGTGAAATTGGCTGCTGTAAAGCCAAGTGGAAAAATCACTGGTATTTTAAGGGCAAAGTAGTGATAAAAATTCTGTAAAACACCCGCTTGCTGACTGCATTATGTCAGTGAAAGCTGGAAACTCAGAAGGATAAGTATAAATCTTTTCTACTAAGAAACCTTTACCCAATTTTCTAAATACTTTGGGGTAATTTATTTTAAAAAGAGGAATGGTGGTTCTGAATTCTTAATGCATTGTTTGGGAATAGGAATAACTCTTTCAGAGCAGTTACAGTGTCAGAAATTAGTCATGAAAGTCTAGGCTTCTGGTCTGATAGTGGGACAAATGAAGAGCATGTTACTACTTCGTCACGCAAGTACTTCAACTTGCATAGTTACATCACTTGTCAGCTACAAGTAAATTTAAGCTTGGCATCCTGTCCACATCTCATTTTGTATCATAATGGTTTGTTGTGGATACCTTACATGAAACAATTTTTCCAAGTGAATTGGGATACTTTGGTTCAACTTAAAATGACTAAAAACAGCTACCCTGTTTAAACTTCAAAGAGTTTAAACTGCACCTTCGTTATGTTATAGCCGCAGTTCTAACAGTGGCTTGTGTGAGGACAAACCACTGCTATGGCTCCTTTTCCCCATGGAATTGTCTCTACTTAATAGTTTGAACGGTTCCCAACTTAAATGTGAAGGACTTGGAAAACCAGTTTTCTACAGAGTGTTCTGCTATGTTAAAATGTAGGCAGAGGTTCCTGAATTCACCTGCAATGATCACACTGAAGAGGTGAAAGCTGAAAGTCATTATTAAGCATAGTTTAATAGAATAACTTTAATTGCAAAATATAAAGTAGATAGGAAGTATCTACTACAGAAAAGGCAAGACAATAAAACATGGCAACAGACAAGTGTAAATATAAGATGAAATTTCACATTCCTTTGGCAGTCCCTTTTCATCAAAAGCAGTAAAAGATGTTATCCAGTTTAATCCAGCTGTTTTATAAGATCTGTGTGTGTGTATGTGTGTGTGTGTGTGTGTGTATGTATGTATGTATGTGTATATATGTATGTATATATNTATATATGTATACACACACACACACATATGTCTAAATGTTATTGCTACCCTGTTTTCCTGAAAATAAGACCTCCACAGATAATAAGCCCAATCGGGTTTTTGAGTGCATGCACTAAAATAAGCCCTCCACTGAAAATAAGCCCTCCCCGAAAATAGTGCAACACAGTAGCATCCATGAGGTGACCACACTCACTGCCTACTGTCCCTCAACAATTATTAAGACCTACCCAAAAATAAGGGCAAATGCTTATTTTGGGGATCAGAAGAAAATAAGGTCCTGTCTTATTTTCAGGGAAAAATGGTATTGCTATTATATAATACATTATATAATATATCATGGAGGTTCTCAGTCATTCAGGTCATGGTTACCACAAAGGTGCTTTTTTAAGAGACAACTGGACCTTACTGTTTTTCTTTGAAGACCTTTCACTTCTAATCTAAGAAGCTTCCTCAGCTCGGACTGGATGGTTTGGAATGGAAGGATTTATACTCCTTGCAAACAGCTGGGTCATGTGCATTCTTTTAAAGAGTTATTGAGGCCACTTGGAGGTTTATCTGTGTCCTCCGGAGGTGAAAATGCATGTGGAGCTTTCTGCAGGATGTTTTCTGCCCTGTGTCACTTCACTGCTGAACCTGTGCTCAGGTTGTTGGGGATGAGTCTGTGTTGTCTGCATCTTAAACTGAAGTGCAAATGGTTCCTGTAATCTGCATTTTTTTCCCTGGAAATCCATTCACACTCCTGCACCATGCAGACCATTCCCCACCATCTAGTCACAGCTGAAGAAGCTTCTTGGATGAGAAGCAAAATATCTTTAAAGAAAGAGAAGAAAGTCCAGTTGCCTCTTGAAAAAGCACCTTTGGGACATTTACCACTTAATTGTAAACAGGTCACTTTACAAAGAGACAAGCATAACAATCAACTGCTTCACAACTTGACTCAGAAACCATGTATTGTAGTCCTTTCATTCTTGTTAATCCCAAAGAGTTTTTCTCTTTTATTAGTTTTGTTTTTTAGAACTATTTCTACTGGTTTTAAAATGTTACAGGGGGAGGGAGTAGGGGGAGGGCATGGAAAAAGGAAAAGTCTGCTATTTGATTATTTAAGGAATTGCTGTGAATTTTTTTTCCTACAGAAAGTGCAATTCAGGCTTTTGGCAATGGTACAGATGTGAATGTGTGGCAACCGTTCCTACCTGGCCAAACCACCACAGCTTTAACTACAACAGCATACAGATCAAAGGCCTATGACTCTGAGAATGCTAACAATGAAATACCCACTAATAATGATTTGCCAGCCTGTGCCAACATCAAGGTAAGAAATAACTGACAATTATTTAAAATTTGGGAGGGCAGGAGGATTGTCAAACAGGTGAAGTGCAGGCGCTTGCTAAACATTCATGTATATTAAAAAAATCCAAGTTTCCTTTTGTTTGTCTCATACCACCTAACAGTATATGGTTGGAATGATGCATCCAAAAGTTTATGTTAAGCCGGTTAGTTCTGATTTTATAATACTGGAATCACGTTGTTCCATAGAGCAGGTTGGGTCGTTAACTGCAAGAAATTTAGAAACAAACTTGACAACCTCAATGGATAAGTTTCAGTCAGTGGCTGGTTCATTAAGTCATGTTACGTCATTGCTTTAGACATGATTCATTTTTTTAAAAAACCGTAATTGATCCATATATAAGAAGACTGTCAAACTGTGGACTGAACGTGTCACACTCAGGCCATGTCTACCCCAGCTCTGTGAAGGGGAAAATGTTGCAGTACGTCACGTGACATCAACGTGATGCCACAAGTTTGAAACTCATGTTATATAACATTAAACCATAAACAATTCATAATGGTAAGGGTCTACACATTGCACTGTGCTAAAAGAACCATAGTGCTTTATTGTTATGTGTGAATGATATCAATAATGCACAGTTCAGATCAATGGTAGGCAGAAATTAAACGGTGGATTGTTAACAAAATGGTGCAGAACGTGGCCACATGAGTAATTTTCTCAGGCAGCCCTGAGATGATTCACATAACGCCTTTGGGCATGAGGTCTGTTGGATGCCAGTTTGCTTCCAGGTCCAATTCAAGGTGTTGGTTACTACCTTTAAAGCCCTTACATGTCTTAGGCTACATTATCTGAGGAGCTGTCTTGCCCACATCACATTGACCTATCCCACCCATCATGTCAGGCAGGGATATTATATTATAGACCCCATCGGTTAAAGAATTTTGTTTGGTGGAGTCCAGGAAGAGACCCTTCTCTGTCATTGCCCCCCTCCGTGTGAAACATCCTTTCCTTGGAGATAGAGTGTCCTGAGTATGCCAATTTTCATGGAAGTCGAAGAAAGGCATGTAATCCTAGGGACATGCACCCTGAAGGTGTTCCTGCAATCTTTTAATTTTCAACTTATTTTTCTTTTTACTCTCCTGCCATTTAACTGAACTTCATATATTTTGTGTTTTTATACAGTTTTGTGCTTTTTATCTTAGCCACCCAGAATAACTTTGAAAGTTAGAAGGATGGTATCTAAATTTGATAATGAAATAAATAAATAAGTAAATAAAATCCACCTGAATTTGAATTTGAATTTATTATATTTCTATGCCGCGCTATTCCCAGAATGGACTCAGGGTGGCTCACAAACCAAGTCAGGGGGGGAGGGAAACAAATAGGAAAAAAAAGACATGGACAAAACAATACCACAATTTAAAAACACTCAACAGCCACACCATTTGAGCGGGGACAAGAACTTATCAGCCCCAGGCCTGTCAGAACAGCCAGGTTTTAAGGGCTTTGCGGAAAGCCTGAAGGGTGGTGAGGGTCCGAATCTCCAC